TGCCGAGCAAGACGTAGATTTAGCCCTGAGGCTCTTGTTGGCTGCACCCGTCCCTTTCTGGTGGAAATATGGCAATGCTTACTCTCTCAGCAGACCACTGGGGAGGGATAGAGATAACAGGAGAGAGTCAGGTGATACCTAAAAATCTGAAGCAGAAAAACTTGGCTCAGAGTTGCCTTGTCTTGGGACACACTGTTCAGTCCTTTGCCACACCCACAGACATTTCTGCATAACTTTAAGAGCAGCTGTTGAGTTTTCCAAACCAGTGCTTCCACAGTGTCTGAATACACAAATCCTACCCCTAGTACGGTAAAAGTCTGCTTTCCCTTCCCTCATAATGACTCTATTGTCCTTATGGCACTCACACCCACACCAATAAAAAGAGTGGGCAAATCACACAAACATCCGAGAATGCCCAAACCATGGCTTTGCCGTAAACCAGCTCCCCTTGTACGTATGTGGCATGATCACACCCTCCTTCCCACAGGGCCAGGCCTCAGTGAGGACACAGGAGAAACAATCCTCATTACAGGGGGAGAACCACAGAATGCGCCTTAATGCCCTCACTTGTTCTTTTCACTAGCACCACTTTCCCCATGGCCTTATGCTCTACTTCCAATTGGCCTCCCCACTGTACACATGGAGATTGCTGGTAAATAGAGCCAAGGATGGAGCAAACAGCCTAATGAGCTCTAAAGTACAATTTGATACATTACTGGATAGCTTAAATGATGACTGCCTGCAGGGGGAGGGAACTGTGTTTGGAGCCCCTAGGCTTCCCCTCCTCTCTCGCCTATGTCTCTGCAGACACCCACCCTAGGCAGAGCCCCTGGAAAATGAAGAATATGCGGAAACTGTTAACCAGAGACTCAGCCCTCCGGCTCTCAGCTGAGAGCTCTGGGTCAGACTGGGATGGGCCCTCTCTCTCCGCAGCTCAGCAGCTCTTACCGACAGCAGCTCCTTCTTTCCAAGCAGCCCACAGCTCTGTTCACTGTGACCTTCACAACCTTTTTGCAGAACAAAGCTGGGGGCTCCCTGTTGCTTCATTCAACCTCTCGGTCCCTCCCAAGGCACTGCCAGTCTTGGGCACCAAAGCCAGCAGAGGTCCTGTGAACACCCCCACAGCTTTCATTGCCTTCCAGGCACCATGCACATATACAAAGAAGCCATGCTACAGGGGCAAACTTCAATTCAGGAATTGTAAGATACTGCCAGTTGTCTGAACTCAAGAGGAATAGCTCCTGGTGGGGGCTCCATGTCCCACACATAGTCCCTCATCAGAAGCAATGCCTGGATTATTTATTAACTCGGCCATTGTTGGGTCTACAATGAACTATAAATAACAGCCTAGGGAGTGGCACGTAAGACAGAGTGGTAGAACTTGGCTCAGTCCTAGCTGCTGTTTTTCACTTTGCTGATCCTTTTGTAATCGTGTCACTTTTGCTCTGTGCTGTTTCATAATTTCAGACGTCATGGGAAAACAATCAATTCCCACTCCCCACACTGCAAAAGCTGGGGCTGAACACACATTCCTCCTGTGGTCACTGTGTTTCAAGTACAGAAAAGAGAATAAGATTTACTCTTCTTGCAGTGAGGCAGAATGGGAAAATGTTCCCCCAAAACAATTAATAAAAAAGAAGAGTTGCTGCTTTCCTTTGAAATCTGGGCAGCCTCAAACTTTGATTTGCTTCTAGTTGGCAGAACCAAATGGTCACATTACCTGAAGCACAACATGAGCGTAAGTGCGGCACAAGCAACCAACGTGACCAGCTTCCCCATTCACTGAGTCCCTGCCCTGGCACTACTCCTCTTCTATATAGCCTGATGATTTATCATTCCATGTGACAGGAAGGCAGAACCGGGTCTTCCCCCTCAGTCCCTACTAAACACAACACAGCACATTTCTGGTCTTGCTGTCATGATACTGCTATTTATATTCACGTGCACTAAAGCTGTAAGTCTTGCTCCTACAGTACCTCTCCTGGGATCAGCTTTGACCTTCTAATTGCTGTCTTGGACCCCACCATCACCTGAAGATCTCCTTCAAGAAATTTCATCACTCAGTAACTAAGTTACAGCGCAAAAATGCTTAATGTTTAATTATGTGAGTTAATTCTCTCCTTAAATAACCCTCCCTCGCTAACCTGTGAATTTGGAGGCTGATTTCTAGAGAGAACGGAGCTCACGCATACCTGCAAAGATCAAGACTCCTCTAAGCAGGATAAGGGACAGAACGCACTGCAATTCCTTGGGACGCAGGCAATTACAATTCCAGCTCTGACAGTGCTGAGCCCCTTACCCAGTCAAGCAATTTACTTCCGTCTTCCCAGATCTGCTGCCATTTGAACTGGAGAGATCAGAATACAGGATATGAATACATCTCCAACATGCAACACAGCAATAAATATAAATGCCCAAGCTATTGTGGGACTTTGTCACAGCTACATTGCACTGCAGTAAAAGATCAGGAATTTGGGCTGGTTTTTCCTGGCCTAGCACCTGACTTCACGCTAATAATAGCAACGGGCTGTGCTATATAGATGTAACCATTTGTTTGCTTGTTTTTTGTCAACAATGACAACAGCTAAATTACTCTTCCG